AATGTCTTCTCGGGGAAGATCACGATCCGTAGGACTATCACCTTCCCAACGTCGACCACCACCGCCTCCGCCTCCAATTTGGTAACTACTAGGGCTGTTTCCTCGACGACGACGGCGACTAAAACCTTCATCATCCTCTTCGAAGCGTTTCATGGAAGGTGAAACTGAGAAATGAGGCGGATCTCTTGGATGACCTCGGTGGTGGTTATGGTAGGAATCCTCGTAGCCGCCATTCCCATGGCGATCTCTTCGGTGCCTATCCAGCTTGACGGAATTGGGGGGAAAAATACAGGAAGATTGCAATTCAAATCGAAGTAATCAAAGGACTTGAAAGAACCCTAGAAATTGGGATCTTGTAGAAGACGAAAGAGAAAAACTGAAGATGAGATGATCAATACTTTTGCTGCCAATTTCGATTTTTTTGGTCCGATTGGTAAACACGTACTTATCCGATTTGATTTTGGTCCGACCGGTTGATTTTATTGAAATTATACCGGAGCCGAGGTTTAAGATTGTGGTTTTATCCGTTGGTACGCCGCAAATGTTTGTTTATTCGTTTTTTCATTACTTTATTGTCATGTTTTTCTTTGATAACAGTTTTTTAATACCTCGTAGAGATGATGATCGCCTAAGATAAATTTTGAAAAGTTTTTTTTTTTTTTATAAAATTGACTGGTTCAATTTTTTTAATGTAAGATTGTTAAAGTTGATAAGATTGTTAGTGTAATCCCTACATTCTCCAATCATTTTGTTAAGATTTATAAGATTGTTAGTGTCTACGAGGATTTTTTTGCTGGCACAATAGAAAAACAAGCAGGAGATAAAGCAATCTGAGAAGAATTAACTCAGCTTTTTGATTATATAGAATTCTACAAGGAAGAACTAGAATTCGGACGAAAGATGAGCATAGATGAACCATGTAGCTGCGTTCTGCTCATTTCCGGCGACCATGGTTAAAAGAGATACTTGGAGAAGCTTCGTCAAGAGAACATACTTGTATACATCATGTTTCCCCGCGGTTCAACATCTGTGGTTTTGCTCGAGGAAGCAATAAAATACGATGTGTTCCAGAAGAATTGTTTGAAGGCACTTTTGTTTGGAAATTTTCTAAAGATCTGGATCCTATGGAACTTGGTTCTCAACAGGGCAAACCTCCAGGACACGGTCCTCCAAGCAGCAGTCCTCCAGGCAGCGCTCCTTTAGGCCATGGTAGCAGTCCTCGACGCCACGGTGGATCCAACAATCGTCAAATCCGCATAGATATTAAGGAGTAGCAGTTGTTGAAGAGTGGTGATGCCGGCAGTGTTGACAAGAAACCCACTTGACACATGTAAACATGTGATTGGTTCAGTTTTTTTTTTTATGA